GATGGAGCGGAATCTAGCTTAGAAGTCAAATTTCCGTATAGTAACAGGCCAAATTTGAGGATTGAACGCCGCTCCAAACCCATACCTCCGCTGAACTGTGTTCGGGGCGCAACGCGTGCGGGAGATTTGCTAGCATTAATAAAATAGCAAAAAATGACAATAATAAATAACTCCAAGCAGATTCAAAACTTGGACTTCTAGAGCCGCCGAAACTCGAACAGGTCTGATTATGGGATCAGTAGATGAATGCACTGTCTATTTGGGCAACTCCCTCCATCTTTGACGAGTTTCCCGTGCAAGAGCGCTGTCATGAGCGCTCCTGCACAGTTGACGTTTGATGCTCTGGATCTCTACCTATGTAGAAGAAGAAGTTAGTTCCTTGCAGCTCACATGTGTGAATGGATACACAACACCTTTTGGAAACCTAGCTGCATACCTCTGCATTCACCAATTCTCTTATACTGTGAAATTGTCTGTCCTGCGAAGTGATAAGCAATGAAATGGATTTGCGCACACCTAAACTGGAGCCCCCGATGGGCTCTAACGTCATCTGGAGAGACGAGAGTAAATTCAGGATGTTTACTGACGAGACAACGTGCATTGTGGCGTCCTAGAGGATAACGTTTTGATCAAAATTGGAGCCCAAAACCAGACGGAGGTTCCGTTCTAATAGTCTGTAAAAGAGGTAGAACTAAAGCGCAGGATTCGTGAAGTGGTGAAAGCGGACGTATGCCGGTAGGTTCTGGAAGGTGTTATGTATCCAGACGTATGACACTGCGCCAAACTGAGCTCGTCTTCCAGCAATATAGCGATCACAGGCATCGAACCTCAACTGTGCAAGAGCACTCTGACCCTTCAGGGGCAACTTCATCTGCATATCCTCAGCGTTCACGCTATGGGGAAGGGTGATGAATGTTATGCAGAAAAGGAACAGCTAGAAAATTGGACAAGAAACTAAATTCAAAGAAAGATGGAGGGAGTTGTCCAAATAGACAGTGAATTAATTTACTGACTC